GTGGACTGTCTGGGCCTCGTATGTACTCAGGGTAAGCTCTCCTACAAACAGAGTTTGTTATGTGAGGAACACAGTTTTAAAACTGAACTCAAGAGGAGATAGGCAAGTGCTCGTAGCTGGCAGAAAATGTCTCCACTGAGCTTCTACACAGCCAAAAATAGCCAGAAGTTTGCTCGGGAGTGCAGGGGCGAATATGGGCCACAGTGACACACACTCACAGCCAGCACTCAGGCACCAACATCCTGTGCCTCGCTTGGGATGGGTGGAAACAGCACCCAGATTTCAACATTATGTAAAAGATACAACAAATGAAAAGAAAAGCTTCCTTTTCCTTAATTTTTTTAAGTCCTGAAGGCAAGTTGCATTCTGCCTGGCTGGGCGGGGAATCCTCCTTTATAAAGCCATAAACAATGGGCAGGCTGGTTCTGCTAATTAGCAACATAAAAGCTCGGAGGTGGATGCTTGAACACGTGGTGCGCTGGCAGCCGGGAGCGCCGGCTGAAGCCGCAGGAGAGGTTGGGGAGCCTCGGCTAAGCCCCAAGAAGGGCCAGGTGCCAGGCTGGTCTGACGGGTAGTGAGGAGATCATCTCCTGGGGCCTCCGGGTCCCTAACTTCCTCTTCCCTTGACTTGCTGTGAATGTGAGAGGGAAAGAGGAAGGAGAGGTGAATTATGACTCTGAGAGCAACGGAAATCTCAGGTGCATGTACCTGGGGGAATGAACTGGGGCAGAGTTAGCAGAGGGTACAAGGAGAAAATGGAGCCACAACTCAAGAAAGTAATGAGTCTGGTCTTCCCTTGGCCACTTTGTTCTACTTTCAGCTCAGACCTGTCCGAAAGTCTAAGGGCAGCAGGTGGGGAGGATCCACAGCTCCTTAGAGATGCAGGAGGAATCCTGATGCCTCGAGCCTGAGGCAGCCTGGGTAAGTGCCCCTCCCACATCCTGTCTGCCCATTGCCCCAGCAGACGCTGCACCTGAACAGTGAGTGCCCCCAACACACAGGCAGCCCAGGAGGAAGCGACGGTCTGCAAGCTTACCCCCAGCTCTCCCATCCTGTGTAGGCTGCCACACTGGTGCTGGGCCCATTCTGTGACTGCCAATGGGGTATACTCGGCTTTGTTGCTTTCATCCAGCTATTTTTCCCTCACTTTTGCCCCCAGAAAGGAGATTCGGTAGGTGAGGGCAGCAGCCACAGGAAAGAGCACCGACTGACTCGTAGCGTTGGTGTGTGGGGCTTAAAACCCACTGTCTTCAGACACGAAATGGCTCTGGAGCCATCCACGCTGTGGCTGCTGTCTTTCTGATTGATAAGCCTAACCCTTTCTTTTCGAGTGCCCTAAAAAATTCATTTGCATTCGGAAGCATGTCTAATGTCAAGATGATCAAACATATTTTAAGGGTGGAAAAGAAGCACTTGCAAAGAAAGATAAAATGAATCAGGATTATCGGGCCTAGAGAAAGTCGATAAGTAATCCAACAATTACCTTCTTTACCCAGAAGCTGGCAGGCAGCAAGCTAGTCCTCATTTCCAAAGAAGACAGAAAAAGATAAAGTGGTCCAGTGGCAGCAAAGTGTGAGCTTCCTAACCAGAGACAGGGCTGTGCATACTCATGTGGGCACCGGCAGGGCGCCGGGCTGCAAGCAGTGACATTATACTGCTCCCTGTATGCAGCCGAGGATGGCATGTGCTTTATGAGGAAGTGTCGCCCGCCACACAGCTGAGACACAGGAGGTCCAAGCGCAGGCCCAACGTGCCCATGACGCCACGGAGTCCCGAGAGGAAATGGATAAAACTGCCTGTCTGCAGGTGGTGACGCTATCTCTAGCACTTACTAAACTCCAAATGAAATCCCAGGAAACAACAAGGAGAACCCCCTCTCAAACAGGGTGTGCCAGGAGACAGAAGCAAAGCGGGACGTCAGTTCTGGCTATGAGTACACTTAAAGCGAGCTGCCTCCCATTCTCGTACCTCAGTTTCCTCTTCCGCAGAGAAGCAGTACTCACGCTAGGCCATCCAGATGGCATGACGGCCGTGCCGGACGGCTGGCCCTCTCTACAGACACTCTGAGGTTCATTCTAGTATGACAGCACTGGCTCCTACCTGATGTCTCCACAACCACAAGGTGCATGTTTTGCTGAAGTCTGACCACACACAGGTATGATGACCTGGTTAAATTCTCCAGAGTGCGTTCTCTGTGCAATCAGACGCACTGCATTCAGCATTGAGAAAGAAGAGCTGAGAAGGAAAGGCACACACATCCAAAGACAAGAACGGAAAGTCTGGAAACCCGGCCCCGACTCCATAGTGCCCAGAGAGGTGAATGGTCAACGCACAGTCGGAATGAAGCGAGAGGAACATACGTTTGGGTCTTGGGTCTGAGGCCTCAGAACCAGCGCCTTCCCCTGGAAAGCTGAGAGGCTCCGCCACATCTGTGTCAGGAGGAGGGTAGGGCGGGGGTGGGGGAAGCACTAACTGGGGTGGACCCCGAGCAGTACCTCTGGGAGGCTTTTGTGGCACCTGCCGTCCACCACCTATATGGAATCAACAGGGAGTTACTTTAGCAGATTAAGCCAAAAGAACTCCTGCCTTCCAACACTGGAAACACTGCCGTCACTCAGCAGGCACCAAATCCAACCACACTGGGCACCAGATCCAGCTACACTCAGCACCAGATCCAACCACACCTTCCACCAGATCCAGCCACACTCAACACCAGATCCAGCCACACCTACCACCAGATCCAGCCACACTCAACACCAGATCCAGCCGCACCTACCACCAGATCCAGCCACATCTTCCACCAGATCCAGCCACACTCAACACCAGATCCAGCCACACCTACCACCAGATCCAGCCACACCTACCACCAGATCCAGCCACACCTTCCACCAGATCCAGCCACACCTACCACCAGATCCAGCCACACCTTCCACCAGATCCAGCCACACTCAACACCAGATCCAGCCACACCTACCACCAGATCCAGCCACACTCAACACCAGATCCAGCCACATTCAACACCAGATCCAGCCACACTCAACACCAGATCCAGCCACATTTCAACACCAGATCCAGCCACACCTACCACCAGATCCAGCCACACTCAACACCAGATCCAGCCACATTTCAACACCAGATCCAGCCACACCTACCACCAGATCCAGCCACACTCAACACCAGATCCAGCCACATTTCAACACCAGATCCAGCCACACCTACCACCAGATCCAGACTTGTCCAGCATCTAATCCACTCTCACTTGGCACCATCCACATCCGACCACACTCACATTTTAACATCTGACATACGTAGTGTGTTCTATCATTGGGCCAGTTTGGAAAGATGTGCCTCATTCCAATTTCGTTTCAACAGACACAGCTACCTAAATGCCAGCCTTGAAAACTATTCTTCGCCACCCCTACAGAGCTTTGTAAATGTAAGGGAACTCCTTTTATTCATTTTAGTCTTTTCCAGGTTCATAGATCTGTTTTTAGCCTCTTCTGGTTGCTTTTCTATAGCCATGGCCTTACTCTGGCTAGATTAAGCATTCATTTAGCTTATCTCCCTCTGAGTCCATTTATACTTTCACCTCCTTTGGCTGTTCAGAGTAATAGTTCTCCAAGTTTGTTTTGAAGAATGTCCTCAGTCCTAGAGAGAGTGGGGGGGTTGTATCCCAAGTGCATGGGACACAAGGTCTCAGTCCTCCAGGGTAGAATCCAGGGGTCCTGCCCTGGGTTGAAGTGGGCTGTCTGGCCTAGGGATTGGCACGACCCAACCACATACAGCCATTTACAGTGGATGCCATTTAAAATTTAAACCAGGGGCTTTTGTCCTTTTACAAAAAAATGAAGACAGAGCTTAGAAGGGAGAATGGAGGGCTCTTTATGAAATAGGAGAAAAACAGGTCTATTTTAATGATCCACTGACAATGTTTTCTTTCAATCTGACAGTATGTTCCTTTGGGAGAGAGTTTGAACTGACCTGCAATACGGGTTTATTGCTTCCTAGGGTAACTGACTCCCAGGCTGAAATGCTAACATATTAAAAGCGACGAACTCGCAGGAAAGATGCTGACAAACTGCCACGGAGCTCTTCCGAAAGGTCCAGAACTGCCAAGGCAGTCACTTATCTTGGGAGAACCTTCCCTCCTGCAGCTGCAAACATTAGGGCTGCCTGGGCGGGTTAAGGGGCGTGGTGAGTGGCCTGTGGGTGATGGTGGCTTCAGATGAGCACTGACGCAGTTCTCGTGGCTCTCAGCTCAGGAGGGTGTGGCTCCTAGGCTGCCATTTTCCAACCACTCTCTGCAAGAGCCATTTCAGTCCCTACATAAGTAAAATAACAAATGCTGAATGATTTAAAACTCAAATGACCCCCTGGTTCTTTGACCTGGAGAGCTCCATCATTCAGCTTCTCTCCACCTCGCCTGTAGCATGAGGAGTGGGCTATGATGATCTAATAGGTGTCTTTCTGCCCACAGACAGTATGATTCCATCTTCTTTCCTCTAAGCTCCCTTTTTCTCAAAGAAAATCAGAGTCTTTGCTGAATGTATACGAGGTATATAAGTGGAGGTCAATTTCAAAAGGATGGTCCAAAAATTACTCAGCTGACATCAGCTCGTCTGTACATCACTTGTGGCCTAAGATCTCTTTGAAATGTCAGATGTCCTTCAGAGCAGCTTCCATGATGTCACCTGAGGAACTTCTCTTTTTGCCATCAGAGACATACATCGCACACTCACACTCACAGGCTATCCATTTTCACTCTCTCCAGGCTCCTGCTCCTGTTTCCCGCCTTCCACCCTCCCCCACCTCCTAATGCTCACATCATGTCCATCAAATGCTACTAGTGAGATAGGAAGTGAACCTGCAGTTATTTATTTCCAGCCCTTCTTTCTTTAGCATTAATATTTTCTGGGTTAATACCATTATGGATGAGGCATTAGGAGTTCACAGCAGAGCAAGCATCCCCGCATGCAGACGGCAGGCCGAGCCTCACTCACCCATCTTGCTCTTCCTGTTCTCTTCCTTATCCTCAGTGCGGCTGGGGATCAGGGGACTTGGTGGTGGTGGCTGTGGTGGAGGGGGAGCTGGTGCTCGCCGCTTCTTCTTCTGTAAATCCATCTGTGACCCCAGAGATACCTATGAAGTACAAAGAAGGAAAGAGGCAGTGTCAGGGTTACTGTGCTGGGGCAGCGGCGTGTGCATGGAAGGTGGTGCTCCAAGAGGGTTGTCAGATGGCCGGATCCCTTTCCAGGTCCGCCCTTGCAGGTAGTGGAGGCTGTGAGGTGAGAGTCCAGTGAGCGACTAAGGAGTGGCCTGGAGATAGCAGAGTGGCCTGGAGGTAGCTCACAGACACCCCTAAGACCTCTACAAGCAGACAGCTCATATTTTCTAGGGACCCCAGGCGAGTCTGGAGAGCTGGGAAACTTCCCTGTCACACAAGAGAATGAGACCCCTAGCCCTTCATCAAACATAAGGAGAACAATTCCTTCTGGAACAGGATGGGCTGGTGATCACACAGAGGAAGAGCTGATGGGGACAGCTCAGATCTCACCCGTGCCCAGACTTCGGTTTGCTTCCCTGACTCTGCACATTCACGTCCCAGAGCAGCCAAGACTATCTAATGGTCAAAGGTGAACACATTCTGATCCATAATTGCAGTGAAGTTTCTTAGTATATGGGCTATTAGATCAGTGTATGGGTTATCAGCTGCCCAACCACAGCAGAAATCCAGCTCCTGCTCACAGCAGACTTCAATAGTGAAAGACACGCAGCTTCTAAAGGCAGCTCATGAATACTGGGCAGGTCTAATTGCTGCATGTGAAATCTGTTTTGTCTATAAAATTGAATTCACTGATTCTATTTCTTTGTTTCTGCAGGACTACAGAATCCTCCTCTCCTGTCCTCCTCATTAGAGCCAATGTTTTTATTCATTCACTCTCACTGATTAAAATCCATTTAAAGATCTTTATATTATATGTAGAGAAATGCAGAGTATGTGCAAAGAATGAGCCAGGCACGGTGGCGGGCATCTGCAGTCCCAGTTACTCAGGAGGCTGAGGCAGGAGAATTGCTGGAACCCAGGAAGCGGAGGTTTCAGTGAGCTGAGATGGTGCCACAGCACTCCAGCCTGGGTGATGGTTGTGATACTGTGCCTAAGGGGAGGGGGGAAGAATGAATATGATGACTATGCACTGTCCTGACCTCGAGTAGCTCAGAGCCAAGTCTTGGATGTCCAGTCCAAGTCCTTCCTGGTCTTCCGAGAGCCCATCACAGGAACGGTGATACCACCCCGCCTCTGCCCCTTCAACTCTGACCTTGGTGCTCTCTAGTTTATTAACTCATGCTTGCACCATGTGTACCATGTATATGGGAGGGAGAGAGGGGGAGACAGACAACAAGAGGGGGAGCGAGAGAGAAAATGTGTGTAAACAGTCTCCTTTTAATTTTTATCAGTAATACGCATTTACTGCAAAAATAGTTTAAAAATATATGTAAAAGGAAGAACATAATCACTTTATCAATACTCAAACTACTAACGATGGGCATATGTTTTTCTGGTCTATTTTTTCTTCTAAAAATAATTTTTCTTCCCTTCTGTTACACTATATTATAACCACCTTCTATACATCTAAAATTCTTTAATATATTTTACATAAAACATGGACATAACAGAAAGTAAACAGCCCCACAAAGCTGAGTCAAACTAGCAATTTCTTGTCTACCACCCCCTCTCCAGCAGTAACCACTTCACACTTTTTTTTGGCATTTATTTCATTTTTCAAAATAAGAAGCTTATTTGTACTCTTTCTTGATTTGTCCATGTATTGGCGTCCTACTCCAGAAGATGCGGATTTTGTTCTTTGAGACATGCATGCGCAAACACACACACACACACACACACACGCACGTGCGCACACACACACTCATACTTTTCACACACACACTCATACTTTTCACACACACACACACACTCTCTCATACTTTTCCTCTCCATTTTCCAAAAAATTATAGCAAAAGATTTAAGTTAATATTTACTATTTAGTTACACATATTTAATAATAGTAGACATCAAAATTATGAAACATAGAAGTTTTCTTCAGCAGGAATTTTCTCCTACTGAGAAGTATAATGTATATCGTAATTACACATTCTAAATTACCTTTTTGTTTTCCCTGAATTTGATAGCTGATTTGTTTTCTAGCTTTTTTTCTTAATTGCATTTCCTGGAAATTTCCTTTCCCTTTATTCACTCCTGATCCCTTGTTTCCTGGATATTCTACCTGTTTTCTGTGTGGTTTTTTTTTGTTTTGTTTTGAGACAGCGTTTTGCTACTCACCCAGGCTGAAAGGCAGTGGCCCAATCTTGGGTTCAAGTGATTCTCCTGCCTCAGCCTCCTGAGTAGCTGGGACTACAGGCACCGCCACCACGCCAGGCTATCTTTTGTATTTTTAGTGGAGATAGCGTTTTGCCATGTTGGCCAGGCTGGTCTTGAACTCCTGGCTCCAGTGATCAGCCTGCCTCAGCCTCCGGAAAGTGTTGGGATTACAGGTGTGAGCCACTGTGCCCAGCCCCGCCTGTTTTGGTTTTTGTTTTTTTAAAATTCACTGCATTTTAGTGGTGCCCAGTTTCTAGCAACTTTCTGACACAAGATGCATATGAGGAAGATTTTTGAGACCTTCAAAATGTAAGAATGTTTTCATTCTAATACTGAACAGTCAGTATAGATGCCTATGGGAACCTAAGATGAAAAGAATTGTTCCTCAAAATGCTAAGCCATTCTTCCACTGTCTCCCAGTTGGGAACTGTGCAGCTGAGACACCCGGAACCAGAGTGGGGCGCAGTCTTCTGCATGCCATCTGCTTTTCCTCTGCAGGCTCAGGGAGTTCTTACTCCTTCCTGCTCGGAAGTTCCACAGGGGCAAGTGCTGGGTGGGGCTCTTTTCATTCCTTGTCAGTGCTATTCACTGACCCCTGCAATCTGAATATACCTTAATTCTGCAGAATTTTTAGTGTTATTCTTTTCCACTTTTTCTTTCCTCTCTTTCTTGCTCTCTCTGGAATTTCAGTTAATTAAACATTGAGGATTTTAAATTGATTGTCTATTTTTTCTTGCATACTCCTGCCTAAATTTTTTCTGATTTCCCCCCCTTTCTTGAAAATTTTCTCCATTGTAAGACTCATGAATTTTAAAATATCTGTTATTATTATTTTTTTAATTTCCAAGAGCCCCTTCTTGTTATGGATTTTAAAAATAGCATCATGTTCCTGTTTCCTGGATACCACAGCTTCTCTTTCCTCTCGGAAGCTATGCTTTGTATCGTTTCAAGAACATGTTTAATTTCCATTTTCTTCAGCCATATGCATCACACTTTCCTCCACGGTCCTTTCTCCTCTCCATCATGGCCTCTGTTTATCACATTTTGACTCTTCCTCAAATTTGTGGCTGATTGTTTATAATATGTGTGTTTCTGTGTCTAGGGTCTGTTCATACACTAATGGGATTCCCAGTGGGAATCTGGGCAGAAATGTGATAGTTGATGGAGAGATCCCTGGATATTCATACCTGCAGGACTGTCTGCTAGCTCGGCCATCTTCCACACAGAAGCCCAGCTCCTGCCTGACGGAAGCCAGGCCTTCCCCGGTGCCCTGGTGAGGAGACCGTGAAGCTCTCCTGTGGCATGTGGGTTTTCGCTTATCCCTGTGTGGGTGCAGACTCGACTGTGTCTGATATCCTGGAGTCGGGGTCTCTTAGTTGCTTAGGGGGTGGCAGTGGAGACAGACATCTGGTTGTGGTGGGCAGGGAGGGGTACGAAGGTCTTACTGTTTCACCTGCAGGCATTCATCCCTTCCTTCCTCATCAGCTCATTCTATGGTTGTGTGCAGAGAAATAAGTGCCGCAGATTCCTGAGTGTCTTGGGGTCTGGTGTCTTTTGCTGGGCCTCTTTCACCCAGCAGTCAAGTTTCAGCTTCTTCCGCTTTCCTAGGTATTTACCACAGTCAAACTACACTGCAGGCCAGGCGCAGTGGCTCATGCGTGTCATCCCAGCACTTTGGAAGACCGAGGTGGGTGGTCACTTGAAGTCAGGAGTTTGAGACCAGCCTGGCCAACACAGCAAAACCCCATCTCTGCTAAATATACAAAAATTAGCTGGGTGTGATGGCAGGCATGTACAGTCCCAGCTACTCAGGAGGCTGAGGCAGGAGAATCATTTGAACCCAGGAGGTGGAGGTTGCAGTGATGCGAGATTGTGCCACTGTACTCCAGCCTGAGCACAGAGCAAGACCCATCTGAAAGAAATCAAAAATCACTGCAGTCCCCCAAAGTATCTACTGAGAACTGTCATCAACTGCCAGTGCTGCCTCTTTCCTCTTTGTGAAGACTTTTTTTTTTAGTGGAGTTTCAGAGGGAGAGACACAGATTTATTAGCTATGTAGCTTCCCATAATTTTTCAGCTTTACTGAGGAATAAACAAGTAAACATTGTGTGTTATACAATTAATAATTTGATATACATATCTATGGTGAAATAATCACAATCAAGCTAATTAACGTATCTATCACTTCGCATAATTACCAATTTCTTTTTAATTTTTTTTCCTTGTGGTAAAAACCCTTAAAATCAATCCTCTTAGCATAATTTCAAGTATTTTCTAATGGCTACCTAGTACTTCACAGAATTGATGAGCCATAATTAACTAAATTAGCCCCCTTTGCCTTTAGCTAAATATTAAAATTATTTGGTTCTGGCAACAACAAATTAAATTTCTTAAAATACTCTGTAATTTTATCTTTTTCCAACATTTCTTTCTCTCTCTTTATTTTTTCTGTTGAGTTTTCAATAAATCCATTTACTAAAACTGCTCAGGTACAGAACACACAAAATCAGTGAAGAGGTAAGATCCTAAAAATCCCAGTTTTAAGGCTCCTTGTCATGAAGAAGTGATGTCGACTAGAGAGCAGAAAGGAAGCCCCCCGCCTCAGTTTCTCTACAAAGGCATCAAGTTAACGACAATTTGTAACCCAGAAGCTTTTATGAGAACTCCGGAAACCAGTTAAGAAGGCACAAGACCCTAGGCAAGCTTAATGCCAAGAATGGCCACGCTAAAGTGGGTAAGAACAGCCATTTCACCTCAACTG